AAAACTTGATGTTGCTGTATAAATCATGTCATCATAAGGATAAGGCGCTTGCAATTCAACTCAATAGACATACATTTCAGGCCTATGCATATATTTCTTGAAGAAAGCTTCCCCTGAGAACTCAAAAACTTGACAGAGATTTTCCAGATATATACATCTGATGTTTACAAAGTGGATTCCATAGATAAAAATGCCTTTATGATAGCAGGTGAATTAAAACATTAAATAAATGCAGGTCTACTAACGGAGTGATAGCCCTGTTTCCGATTAAAGGGTTCACTCTTTTTGACATGCAAATGATAAAAGGAAAAAAAAAAAAATTTTCATTCCATCCACAGTTCGCATGCTTCAGAAATATTCAAAAATATGAAACTCACATAATTATTTTCTCGAGGAGACTACGATCCGTACACTTACCTAACCTACAAAGACAATCATTCTGCTCACCTGCCGACATTCTGCATACATTTGTGTTGCTGTTTGGAGATTTCACTGAAAACAGAGATCAGGATTTGAAAAAAGAAACATTCTCTATAACAGCATGCGTATTTGAAAGGGGAAGGGGCATTTTGACCTGCCCCGAGAAAAAATTAAGCGAAACAAATAGGGCCTACTTCTTACTGCTAAGCTCATATGAAAACGTGTGGAAGTCATTAGTCATTGATTTGGTAAAAATACATGATAATTATGATAAATGTTTATTGCGGTCATATTCAATGTCTCGGGTTTAAACGTAATGTAGATAAAAGAAGACAATACAAATTTAGTTACCGAGATATAGAGCAATTTTATTCAATCCACCGCAAAACAGACTGGTGTTGTATGGGCATGGAATGCTACACTCGGCATCGCTTAATTGCACTTCCAGACAACTTTGTCGACATGCACACGAACAGTTGGTCCCGTTGTACACCGCGGCAAATGGATACCCCAGCTCTCCGCACATCGCCGTGCAAGCCGTAGAGCTGGTCGAGTTACGATGCCCGTGGTCGAAACTGACCTCATCGATGTCGTAACAGAATTCTAAACATCCGTGGATATAGCAACCGATGTAATAACCATCTGTGAATTAGATTTAAAATATTGAGATTATGGATCAACAACGAGTTTGAATTATTTTTGAAAATCCGATGACTATAAGTTTTGCTGGGATATCCTATAGTTAGTCAGATTTGTATTCATTTTGTTTTCTTTTCTGGGGGGGGGGGGTGGGGAGGGATGGGTTGCCTGGGTGTGAGTATACGTATAAATCCCTCACATGTAGCCATTGCAACTTACCCAGTGATATTTGTTGGTGCATTCAATTCGGCTTATATTAATTTCAAACAAGGACTATATTCATCATACGTCCATTACAAATACGTTATCACGGCAAGACTACCCGTAACAGTTATTATAAGTTGGAACACAAAATTAGTATTAAAAAGAATTGAAGACGAAGAAAATATGCCGCAATTATCTCATAATCATGAATAGACCTAAAGATATACACACATACATACATATATACATACATACAACATTAATAAATTTCTTGTTATCTTTATTTCAATATATGGTGTCCGTAATCTGTACTTTGCTATGGATGGAGAGGTCGTGCAGAGCATATAACATACTTACATTTTGCATGTCTCTCATGACTTGAAGCAAATATTTGCCCAGAAACAGAATCGTTTAGCAGAAGCAACCAAACTATCATTAAATAATACATTCCGGTAGATTCAGGTAAATTAAGATTACAAAACATGCAATTGGTCACTTTTCAACAAATTATTATATTGTCGATGTACCCAAATATTTTCTAAATTTGAAATATGATTCTAGACGTCCTTTCCAAGGGCACAGCAGAAACAATTTGAGATGATAATAAATGCTCGATATCGAATTTCCTCTTAATTTCACATCTAATTTATATGTCTTTTAAGTATCTCTGTTCATGCACGCACAATTAATTTCATTTTGTATTGTTTAATCTTCAAAGATTAGTAAAACTAATCAATTACACGTTTCCTTTCGAATCGTGCACTTATCTCGATCACTTTGTCATAAAAGTCACATTTCAGACATGTTAGAGAAGTTTGTTATCCTCAAAAGATGGATTTTTTAAGAGCAATCAGTTTCAAGTTTCGTTTAGAATGAGGTATTTATTTCCCTCACTTTGTCATTGCAGATCAGTGGCGTAGACAGGTTCGTACACCTGGGGGGGGGGTGACTCAGGGGCGGATCTAGCTTTTTGCTAAGGGGGGGGGGAGATTGACCAAAATAATGACGATGCGGAGCATCGTCCACGAGCCGCGAAGCGGCGAGCCGATTTTTTTGGGGTGTTTATTTGAACCCCGTAAGTGATGTTTTCCTTGCATCTTTTAACACATTGGAGACCATAAAAAGCAGTGCATGATAACGTCTTTTTAAATCAAGTAACAGTTAAATACACAGTTATATCCAGAGTTATCATGTGTTTGGTTAAGTTACCAGATGAGTTGAATATCTTCTCACAATA